TTAAGGTTAGCGGTACTTATAAAAACTGTCCTTCTAAGGAGTCTACTCGTCTCGGATAAGATATAGTTAAGCTCGTAGCTAGCGAGGGTGCTAGTTACCTACGCATTAAGGTCTGTCTTATATCTAAGGATAAGACTAGCTACTCTACTATTATCGAAGGCATACATTAGCCTGAGGTCTTTACGAACTAGGTTAAGAAGCTTAAGGCTCGTAGCCTAGTCCCGCTAAGCAAGATCGGCAAGCTTACTAACAAGTACCTTACCGACGACGACCTCGACTATATATTCGATAGTTAGCCTAATAGTAAGGGGCGTAAGGCGGAGTAGATCCTTAACCCTCTAAAAGAGTGCGAAGTCTCTATTTAGATACTATACCTGCTATATAGTAATCTAAAGACTAAGAGCAACCGTATATTAATTAACCTAGGCTACTCTCGCGTTATCGACGGCACTAAGATTAAGGGTTACGACAACTTAACCGTCGCTAAGGTTGCTAAGGCGTACCGCAATCTAACCGCCCTTCTAGGTTCGAACACCTTCGTACTGTTCCCCTTTCCTACCGCTATCTTAGTCGAAGGCCTTAGTTGTATCTCCGACGCCCTAGTTAGTAGGATTCCTTAGTTAAGTTACGTTGTTTAGAACGAAGTTAAATAGATCCTCTAGCTTAATAACGAGGGACTTAAGGAATATCTGTACGATTAGGAGAATACTACGAAGGAAAAGGCTACTAACCTCCTCGTTAATTAAGCTTTCTACGAGGGATAGTACTTCGGTGCTAATAGCTTTAACGTATACGGAGGAGATTTCGAGAACCGACTAGTAGATAAGGTTATTACTAGTAAGGATTACAGCGCGTTAAAGCAATAGTAGGTCTATATAGTGTTGCTTAGGAAGTTGTTTTTGCATAATTATAGTATCTAGGATTAATGCTACCCCGGGGGTATTATTACGGAGTTCTAAAAATGGCCTTAGCTAAGAACGCTAAGGATGTATATATGTTTGTTTTAAGCGCGCAATGTAAAGCGTATCTAGTTAGACACGAAGAAAGGGAGGGATATTAGCTAGTAACCGGCCCTACACCTATAGGCTAGTTTTAAGCCTATATAAGAGGCCTCCTTCTGTTCTATAGATAGAACATTAACCTCGTATAGCACATTGTTTATATTACACTTCTACAATGCCTATATTGTAGGGCTCTAGTTATTAGCCTAAGCGATAGTCTCGTCCTCCTATCTTGCTAAACATAGCTGCCTATATTGCTATAGGTTATGTTACCCTCGGTAGCCTATACTATTACTACAAGTAGTAGTAGTGGTGTTGGTTTCCGTCCTTTACTATGCGACTTATTAACGAGAACGAGTCCGTAATCTCTATCGCTTATATAGCGTTCTTGCTAACTTCTTACCGCTATATTTACTATATCTTAACCTAATAGAGCTATTATTTAGACTCTTTAAAGGATAGATTAAGAGGCATTAGGATATAATACCTAAATATAGCCGGATAGACGAATAGCAGTCTTAATTCGAGCGTTATCTATACCTAGCAATCGATAGTTAGGGTAAAAGTATAGACTATAGGAAGTTGTTCCGCTACGCCGGTATAGCTTCCTAGTAAGATAGTCGATAGAATAGGAACTAACCGTTAGATTTAGGCGTTTAGATATAGATTTAAAAGGCCTCGGTCGGCGCTATAACCTTATTAAGAAAGCGTATTAATCTATATAGTACTAATTAAGTAGTATCGATTAGAAGGTAGTAGGTTGCATTTCGTAAAGGGTGCTAAGACTCCGCTTTCTATAGTAAGCGGGGAAAAGTCTAGTCTATACATTTCGAGCGCAAAGAATACAATATATAGAGCTCGTATCGGTACGCAAATTTTTTAATAAATACTTTAATATATATAGAATACAATAGGAAATGTATATTGTATAAATACTATAATTAGGTAATATAGTATAGACATAAATACGAAAAAGTAATAGAATTTAGGGTCTAGAAGTAGGGTCTTAGCGGCACGATATAGAGAAGCTAGCGGTCGAAACGTATATAGTATATACTATATAAACTGAATATAGAAAAACTAAATAGACAGAATGCAAGGATTATATATAGACTAACTTAGCTATTATTTTCGTAACTATATCTTATATAGTAGTAGTACTATATTGCGATCGGAAAGCTATCCTCCTTAGCTTACTATAGCTTCCCCTTCTTCGACTATACCCTCCGGTAGACTCGATATATTAGCTAGAATACGACTCGCCCTGTATTCCTTTAAGAACCTATTTACCTTAGACTCGAGCCTAAATCTAGCACTATTAGTAGATACGTCGTTAGCCTTTAACTCCTTAAACTTCGCTAGGTTCTTAACTATTTATAGGTACTAATCTTCCTTAACTATCTACCTTTAAGCGTCTCTTATAGAGACGGCTATAGCTAGAAAGCGAGTACGAAGCTAGCGATAGTAGACAATAAGTACGGCTGTCTCGGTCTCGTTGTCTATAATAGGTAGACTTAACCGCGGAGCGCCTTATTGCGGCGGCTAATAATAGTATAGCGGCGGCGGCGGCTAATAAGGCTATAGATTAATAGGCGGTTGCGGTTAAGGCGGTCTATAATAATAGTAGTATTGCTATTAGACTAACGGCTCTAGCTGCTATTAATTCTTGCCCTTACTAGCCTTGCCTTGCTCGTTCTCGGGGTGCTTTACCTTATAGCACCGCATTATCTTCTCGATAACCTTCTTATTTAGTGCCTCTACTAAGCACTTCTTATTAATTGCTATTTGATCCCTCTAGAAGCTAAGAATTGGTGCTATAAGCTTATAGTATTAACCTATTAGCTCGTAATAGCCTATAACGTTAGCCTATTATCTAAGGGTGTACTATAGGTCTATATAAGCATAGGCCTTGCGAATAGCCTTATATTAAAGTAAGCGGTTATTAGTCTCTTATAGGGTAAGCTTATTAGTATCCTTCTTCTTGCTTGTTTTAGCTATTCGAGGTAGTAGACTAGAAGGTAGGTTAGGAGTATTAGAAGAGGCTTTAGTCGGTAAAGATAGCTATTGCTGTACTACTAGTTTATCGCTAATCTTCGGACCTAGCTTAGAAAGTAGTATATCGGCTCTATAGCTCTAGTATTTAGTAAGAAGGACCTAAATACTAAGAGGCTTCATCTAGCGGAAGTATTTAACAATACTATTACCTTTGCCTATCTATTCTTGCTAGCCTCCGGTTATAAGGAAGTCCTTAGATTGTAGCTTGCTATTCTTTAGTAATAAGGCCTATATCTTATAATAGCGGCGGACTAGGCAATAGTTAAAGCCCTTTACTGTAGCATAAGCTATTATAGTAGTCTTAGCAGCGTTAATTAATCGTCGAATACTAGTAGCGCTATAGCTTATAATGCTATAGTTCTTACTAAGGTCTTTACGGTTAAAGTAGAGCTATAGCTCGAGATTAATAGCGTCCGGCTCTAGTAAAGGCTTCTTATTTACTAAAGGGGTAGCTTCTATAGTAGTAGAAGAAGTAGTCTTAGAAGGCTTTAAAGAAGAAGAAGAAGGCTTCTTCTTCTTAGTCGGCTTCGGTATAGCTTCTTTAATAATAGCCTTCTTTAGGGGCTTCCTAACCCTCTTCGTAACCTATATAATAGTAACCTCTTTAGTATATAGTTCCTCTCCTTCTTATCTACCTTCTTGTCTACCTTCTTATCTACCTTCTTATCTACCTTCTTATCTACCTTCTTATCTACCTTCTTATCTACCTTCTTATCTACCTTCTTGTCTACCTTCTTATCTACCTTCTTATCTATATTCTTATCTACCTTCTTATCTACCTTCTTGTCTACCTTCTTATCTACCTTCTTATCTACCTTCTTATCTACCTTCCTATCTACTTTCCTATCTACCTAGTAGCAAAGTACTACTTATTAGTAAGCCGATATTACTTTACTAGGTCTTAGCAACCTTAGTTGCCTTAAATTAGACCTTCTTTACTTTCTTCGAGGCACTCGCTATTAAACCTGCCTATAAAGTTCTCCTTTTGCTCGTAGACTAGCTACTAACTAAAGTAGCGGCAACCTCCGCTTCTAGCTATTTTACTAGTAAATAAGCATCCTCGGCGCTCTTTGGCGTACGCTTCTTAGGTGCTATAGAGGGAAGTAGTAGGGTTTGTAGAGCGTGTTATAGAGTATATTATAGTAGTTCTCGAGGTTAGCTTCGAGCCTAACTTCTCGTCCTTCTAGTCTACCTTCTTACGTCCTATAATAAGGCAATATCTACTAGATCTCTTCTAGTATATATTAGTCCTTCGTCCGCAGCTATTAAATCGCTAGTATTATCGTATGTCGAGGCGTCGCTTGGTAGTGGTGTTTCTTGTAGAATTGGAGGTGGAGGAACCGAGCCACTTGCCAGAACTGGACATTGGACCGCGCTACTCCGAGGGGGCTCATATCGGAACAAGCGAGCGATCAACTTTGTTCGGCCACCATCAATCAAACAAAGTCATATCACAGCTACTAAGGCGGTGGCAGAGACTGTGTGTGACCACGAGTTTTGACACGACAGCCGCAACGAAGTGCATGACACTACTGTCACACTGGTAGTGGGTCTGCGCCTTCTGTATCATCATACGGCTGAGCATGGAACTCTGAAATCACAGCACCCTGCTTCTCACGGCCCTTGTTCAATTCTCTTTGCCATGATGAAGACCACAAACTGACACTGCGGAGCTAATTACTTGGATAAGACACTCAAAAGTTCTATAGTCGACGGGAAATGGGAGGACAAGTGATTCAACGAGCAGTATTGCTTGTGTTAATCTGCATTCTGGTCATCTACACCATTGCCGAGTATTTCTCCACCACGGCAATCTTAAAGCAATGCGCACAACTCGAACAGGATGGCCCTCAGACATCGCCGGGTCCGAACACACAGACAGTCCTGTCGAGTCCGGACCTGACTTCAGAGATAGACCAGGTGGTGTCTGTGCCTGGGCCATCCATCGGCAAGGTCACTATGCTCTACGGCCCCTGGGCAGAAGACGAAAATAACCAACTTGTCCTGAAGAGCCATAGACAACACGCAGAGAAACATGGCTACTCGCTGCATGTACTCGACCGACAGATTATGCATGGAATGTGGTCGAAGCTATCCTACATTCTTCACCTGGTTTTGGAGGAAATAGGGAAGCCCGAAGAAACGCGAATGAAGTGGCTTTTGTACGTCGCTTGGATTTATCGAGGAGATCAGATCATACAAACACGTATTATCGCTGACTATTGAAATAGCTGGTTCGATCTTGATATCATTGTCATGAACCCATGCATCCCGCTGGAGGTATTCTTGCCACCCGAGCCCGCTTTCGAGCATATCAATGTGATCGTGACGAACGACCACAACGGTCTCAACACAGGCGCTTTCTACCTTCGAGTCAGCGAGTGGGCGGTCAAGTATCTGATCGACATCATCGCATTGCACACGTTCAAGCCAGAGATCAAGCTCAAGTACAGCGATCAGTCTGCAATGGAAGTCATGACACTAGACGTCAGTTGTTGAGAACAACCAACACAAACAAGATTGGTGCTGACACACATGTATAGAAAAAGTACCGGAACAACACCATGTATGTTCCGCAAAGATGGTTCAATGCATATCGAGGGCCTCGAGATGATCACGAAAAGCTCATTCGTGGTGCCCAGGTTCCCGAGAGCACCATCAAGCCGGGAGATTTGCAACTGCATTTTGCTGGCAAGAAAGTCAAGCATTTGATACCGACGTACTTGGCTCTGGCTGCGAACAACAGTATGGGCTGGGAGATGCCCTTGAGCAATACGAAGCTCAAATCTGAAGTTGCCGTCTTTTGGAAGCTCCAGCAAGAAAAGTCATCTTGGAGTACACCTGTGGTATAGCAAGTTTTTTTACAATGCAATCAGATTTTTTTTTTTCGAGGAGCACTCGTCTATTCTGTCGCTTTGCACCTATCTTCCAACCATTTGACGCATCGTACACATCTAAGCTCTATTTCTCGGTGGAAAAGATCTGCGAAGTATAGGCATAGCACGAGGCTTGCAGTCCAACCCACAGTGATTCCGATCATCCATCGACTCATTCCCTCTGATCCTCCGATCGAGCTCCAGACCCAGTGGGGTATTGCGTAACCTATCGCGTGAAGTATTGTCGCATGTACCAAGTACAATGCAAAAGATATCCGGCCGAGATAGAGCGCCAGATCGCTTTCGAGCATGCTACGCCATACACCTGGCTTTCCCCCTTTGGCACCATCTCTGAGAAGATATAGTAAGATCAACACTCCAATGGACTTGGGGAATTTGTTCTCGCGGTGTACATATCCAGATGGTATAAGGGTGTTGATCCAAGCATATCCTGGAGAAGGGTTCTTAAACTCCGAGACTGGATATGACATGAGATACATGGCAGAAATGTAGGCTGCAGTACGATGCAATGAGGTCCGAGTCATTCGTGGTGGCTGCAGTAGTCGCGATCGCTGAGGTGCTCCAGGCGACAATGCGAGCGAGCCCTCCTTGATTGGAAGCAGCTCCTCTAGCACGCCTTGCTTTGCTGTAGCATGTCCTCCGTGACTATTGCTCATTCGTAGTACATCCCATTGCGCACATGCAGCTCCGGCAAAAAACAGCATGCCTTCCCACCGATGCCAAGCTGGGTAGATAGTGGCCAAGGTACACAGCAATGCCATCCGTACATGCGGCCTGCAAGTCGCCAGGGCGATTAGTACCATGTACAAATGCAAGCTCATCCGGTATTCGTATGCAATCGTCCAGAGATGCGGATCATGGACCGGGTATACAGGCTTGAACTCCCATAGATTCATCAAATGCCAAACTTCAGATGCCCAAAAGCTTACTTGGCCCCATAACGTATCGTGGCGTGGGACATTTACTTCGGAAGAAACTCCCCGAAACCAAGTCTTGCGATTGGCAAACATGATGTCGGTCAGAGTGAAGCCATTCATGTAAGCCAGCAATGCTGTTATCAACGTCATGGCGAGCGTAGGGAGATACAGCCGGAAAGCCCGACGAAATACGCTCGACGACAGAGATTGAAGCAGCGACGCGTGACATGCTGTCCCAGACTGCATGAGTTGAAGAGCCTTGAAAGAGCACACATATCCAGCTATGGCGAAGAAGACATTGACGCAGCTGGCACCGTCCCAGAGCAAGCAGAATGGCGGCAATGCTGCAATGTGGTCGCTGGCTGTCAGGTGCGTCGGTGTCCGATAGCCTAGAGTCGGGAGAGGCGAGAATGTGAAGAGGAAATGGAAGTTGACCACGATGACAGCGCAGATGCCACGGAGTCCATCCATCCAGGATGTGCTTGTGATCTTGGCGGGATGGACGGTGTTTCGGAGAAGTGTAGGCTTCAAGGCATGCAGCATACGATGAGCAGACCATAATGGGTTCCAGGCGGCGGAGCTACTCAGGCCTCTCGCTGAGTCTCCGTCGGCAGTCATCGTGGTAGCTAGCGCTCGAATCTCTCTTGATTTCGTGCTTCTTGGCCGGTTGATTCGAATGGAGCGCTCCGTTCCATGCGATAATACCAGAACTTCATACCAGATCGACGCGATGACTTCCAGGTTCCCAGCAGTGTTGACGGCCTTCTAGACTTCTCCCCGGTCCGCCGTCGACCGTTATCTGTTCTAACGCCATGTCTTCATCGGTAGCAGCGGCGGCGACTGCACAGACTCCAGGAGACGCTACTGTAACTCAGCCATGGCAGGCGAAGACTCGAAGTCCAGATGGTCATGCCATGCCTTCTGACAAGCAGTGTGGCCAATGCATCTACATACTGTGCCAATATGCTTGATTAGATCGCGTGTCATATTCCTTTCTTCGGAAGGTGTAGGCTTGTGGCGCCCCCCTGATAGAACTACTAGAGCGGTCCGCCGGTCGACTTTGGGACCGGGGATTCTGTTCCATACGCCTGATCTCGATCCTTCACATCAGCCCATCACGGCCCCTCCTTCTTGCGTGGAGAAAGCATACGCCAATGCATACGTTAACATGTTGAAGGCTGAACCCGAGGACGCGTGCGGCCAGATGCGCTGAAAGATTAGATTAGATTAGGTATTCTAGCCCACTGTGGCTCACAGGAAATCTTCACACGGGAGTTGTCTGCTTGTCAGGCAGAGGGCCATGTTCGTCCTCACCATGGCCACTCCACCCCAACATCATGCGTCTATCTGCTGAAATCACCTCCCCTCAGCGATCTAGAATGACAACGACCTCGACCAAGCGGCTGGTCGGTCGAATCATTGCGCCTCTATGTCTGCTCCTCTTCCTCGTCTTCCATGTCCTACCGGAGAGCAGTTCCCAGCTGTTCAATCCACCTGCAGCGTCGGATGCAGATCGGAATGCTTTCGAACCCTCTTACAAAGCGGACGAGCTTCGACCGGTCAAATCCAAGGCCCAAGCCTCAGGTCCATGGCCAAGCAAAATATGGCAGACGGGCAGTGAAGGCATGAAGAAGCAGTGGAAGAAGCAGGTGCAGACATGGACAGATTTGAATCCGGGATGGGAGTATGGCTTCCTCAGCGACGATGGAAGCTCCCAATATGTGGATGAGCACTTCAGCGAACACACCACCATTCACAATTTCTGGCGGGAGCTCAACGTCACCATTTTACGAGCGGATCTGATCCGATACCTTGCCATGCTTGCGGATGGAGGTGTTTACAGCGACATGGACACAAGTTGTCTCCAACCGATCAGTGACTGGATTCCGCCCGACTTTTCCGAAGCAGACATCGGCGTTGTCGCAGGAATTGAGTACGATGATGACACGTATCCCATGTTTGCTCGACCCATCAGTATCTGCCAGTGGACGTTGATGGCAAGACCTGGACATGCTGTTTTTGAGAAGGTCGTTGCGAGAGTAATCTATCACCTGGAGTACCTGGCCCGGATCAAGCATGTCCAGCTGAGCGAGCTGACGTTGAACAAGAAAGAGGTCTTGGACGCTACAGGCCCTGGCGCCTTCACCGATAGTATCATGGAGGTGATCAGCGAGTATGAACAGAGAAAAGTTTCGTGGAAAGAGCTGTCGCAGTTGAAGCAAGCCAGGCTGTTTGGCGACGTGCTGATTCTCCCGATCAATGCCTTTGCAGGAAATCAGAAGCACAGTCATAGTGGCAAGCCAGAGTTCGGACCAAAGCTGGTAACGCACCACTTTGGACGGTCTTGGTACAAAAGGCCAGAGGACAAGCCATTGAAGGCCGAACCGCTGAAGTCCAGGCAGAGAGAAGCTGTTTGATAGAACTAGAATACACACCGGCCACGGCCACAGCGTGGACATTGATTGCAAACATGACATGCTCACTTTGCGCTCCTTTCAGAGCCATCAAATCTCCATCACTTTACACGCTGCCTGGGGCTCTCTAGGGTTCCTGGCGCTGAGCACGCGACGTCACTCCTATTTCGCGGCGGACACGGGCATCACTACTCACGCCATCAATTTTCCGGGCAGCCAGCGGGGATGCAGAAGGCTCGAACCCACCGTGCTCTTTACTGTAGTTCTAGCGCGCATGGACTTTTGTCCTATGGCCTTGCAAACCTAGAACTAGTTTCCCTAGAACTAGCGCAGACACGAGGGCTGTCACAAGCAGGGGCGCGGGCACGGGCACGGGCACCACAGGAGGGGAGGGCACTGTGGCTTGCGTCAGTGAACCGTATTCTCACGGCCATCACCGTGTGCGTGTGCGTGTGCGTGTGCGTGTGCGTGTGCGTGTGCATGCCACCGATCATGATGCCGCAGTTCGCAATGTAGGAGCATCTCTTGTCACCAGCAGCTCGCTGCATCAATCAAACATGGACCTGCTACCATCTTGGTCTGAAGCAAAATACACCTCGTTGCCCAGTATCTTGTCTCGGAGCGAGAAGTCCTCCACCACAGCCACGACTCCAGGGCGGAGTTTCCGCATGGCAAAGACATGGACCGTCTGCTGTCTGTCTGCATTCATCACCCTGATCATCTTTCTATATGCAAACTCGAGTGGAACCTCCGGTCACAGGAATGCAAAGAATGATGAGAGCATTTTCAATCGAACGCTAGGAGTCAGTGTATCAACGATTGTTGTACATATTCATCGGCGCGTGCTGATCCGATTCGATGCATAGTTCCATCGCAACTATGTCCTATCACTGCCTGCAAGGACAGATCGACGTGACAAGTTCCTCGTTGCAGCCTCGTTCGCTGGGTTTGACGTGGAGTTCATCGATGGTGTCGTATCGGAAGATGTATCATCGAAGGCCACTCCTCTGGTACGAGTCGTAACTCCAATGTGGCCATCATTTCCACAAGCTCACGTTCTCCAGAATTGGAAAGCAGAGAACGTCGGTCCTGGAGTGTTGGGCAGCTGGCGAGGACACATGAATGTGCTCCAAAAGTGAGTTTTCTCCAATGTGTGCTGCGTTCGTCAAATCTCCGACCTGGCTAAGATACGTACAGAATCGTGAATGAGAATATCCAGACCGCTCTCATCTGGGAAGATGACGCGGATTTCGATCCAGCCTTGAGATACCAGCTCCAACAGTTCGCCTCCGGCACCAAAGCGCTCCTGCGTAGAACCTCATCACCCTCTCCCCCTTCCCCGTATGGCAGAGGCTGGGACTTCCTCTGGCTCGGCCACAGCAAACTCGGACCCTCGGACAACCAAACGGAATTCTACGTCCTCGAAAACGACTCCACCGCACCCGCCGTGCGAAACCGTTACGGGAAATGGTGGAACCACAAGCACTCTCCGCCAGAAGCCTCCGAGGATAGCACGCGCCTGATCTTCAAAGCAGGGAACGGGGGCGTGGGAATGTATGCCTACGCAGTAACCTACGAATCCGCACGCAAAGCCCTCGTAGCACTCTCCGTGATCCCCCGAGACGGAGCCGTCGATGTTGCGTACCGGAATTTCTGCAAAGGAGCTTTCGGGATTGAGTTTGCGTGTTACGGGCCTTTCCCGACGTTGGTAGGCACGCATAGGGCTGCCGGTTGGGCGGAGAGGTTGAGCGATAATAATGTTGGGGAGAAGGGGAGATGGGTCGATGAGGCGACTGTTGATGTCAAGTTCTCCACAATGTTGAATTTGCAGAGATTGGCGAATGAGGATGGGTTTGTGGAGGCTCAATGGGCTGGGGAAGATGGGAAGAAGGAGTTGAGGCTGGTCAATGGGCCCTTGAATGGTGCCATGGGTGGCTTGAGAGAAATCGATCTATCGAGTGCACCGCCTCCAAGTTGGATGCCGAGTGATGCGAGATAGGAGTGTGGTTTGATACGTTTGGCATGGATTAGGATTATGAAAATATTCTAGGTATACCCACCGACTGCCTTTGACGCTTTTCTTCACTCGTTACCCTGTTCGGCGTCTCCGAGCCACATGGTGGGACCGTTCAAGGCCAAGAGAGCAAAGAGTCCGCCAACTACAGGTCGCGCTCTATACTGAAGAGAACATGTCAGCCAATGTCTAAGCAGGAGCACTTCAATTATTGCCTTCTTACCGAATCCCAGGTTCCGGCCTCATCGCCCCCACTGTTGCCAACGAAGAAGCGGTCCCCAAAAGGTTTGTCGCTCTGTCCATTTGAGATGAAAGCGTGCACGTCGTCCACGAACATGTCCCTCACATCCTCATTACCGGACTGCTGAGCAACAGCTGCTGCCCATAGCATCCAATCCGTCTTGCCCCAACTCACGCGACTGTCCAGTGCTACGCCAGCTTCGGATCGTACACTCGTGTAGTATGCGGACTGCAAAGTGTAGGCTTCGGAAGGGAATGTTTCTAGATTCAAGAGAACATCAATATAGAGATTGTAGGCAGTCGTCCAGGACTCGTCTTCGCCTTGAACCAGAGTGAAGTGCGTTCTGTCGGAATCCAGGCCGGCGCCTTGGTTGTAAAGCACGTCGGCGAATTGAAGGCCGACGTCTGAGTAGTCCGTCTGTGCCGTCATGCGACCGAAAGCATTCAGTGCGATAGCAGACTTCATGGCCAGCGAAGTTTGATTCGCAGAAGCGCCAGCGTCATCGTCAGAGGAGACCTGATCGCTTGGATAGAGTCCTCCTTCGACAAGGTAATCTGCGTAGCTTTGGAACAGAGATGAGTATTGTGCTGTCCAGTCCGTGTCACCTGTAGCGGTCTGATACATGTATGCAAGGAGAATCATGTCGCCACACTCCTCCAACGGCGTTGGCTCTGCGAAACCGTCGTCGTGACCTGTTACGTTAGGATAGTGGGATCCAATGTCATGGATGGTGAAGCTGAAGCCCCAGCGACCAGAGGCAAGATATCGCATTACCGGTTCAGCGAGAAGACGAATCCACTCTGGAGCCACAACGTACAGGATAGGCGAAAGTCGGAAGATCACATCGACCTGGTCAGAAAGCATTATGAGTTAGTCGGCCACATAATCTTGGATGGGGTAGGGGTATAGTACCTTATTGACGTTACCATTACTACTAATTCCCTTCTGGAATATCATCACGTCGCTCGTGTTAAGATCGTTGGAGACAGTCATGTCCATGGCGCCGAAGGTCTGGCGAACTGAGAGCTGAAGGATGTCACTGTATTTGGAGCCACCAACACTCTCAGCATTGGCTGCAATGGCTGAATCAAACGCTCGAGACTCTGCATCCGCTGCTGCAAAGTCATTAAGAGCGAGGTCGCAACCGCAGGCGATCCAGTTATCATCATCGCATGCCGACTTCCAGTAGCTTCGTCTTGAGTCGCCGAGATAATTGAGATCTGGGTCTCGCACATGTCCGATGACAAAGGTAGCATTCCTCGTAGTCTCTATGCTGTCCATATCGTAAGAGAAAGCGAGGCCAGCGCCGGGCTGCCAGGTCGTCGATATGTCTCCATCGCCGCGCATTTCGCCATGTCGAATGAAGTCGTTTCGCGTCCGTCCCAGTTCTCCCACTGCGTGAGTAAGCGCATTGGCATCACCGCCGTTAGGCCGACTGCAGTAGACGGCAGTACCCCACTGGGCCATGTCGTTCACTTCGGAAAATGGAGCACCATTGACAGATGCAACTGATGCGAGGGCCATTACGGTTGTGCTATTAGCGCGTGTGGTTGAGTTCCAAATCATGTCATCATCTTCCTCGAAGTGGCCGGTCCAGGAGCTATCCATATCGGAATATATCTGCACAGAATGTCTCTTGCCATCCTTTGCGGATGCTGAGACAGTCAGGTAGCTGAAAGGCAGTGAGTGGCGCACGTAGTTATTGGGAGCAACAGGTGAGAAAAAGTCCAGGATGAAGGTGGCAGAGCCGGCGTCGACGAAGAAAGATGAATGAGTAGTCGTATATGTGGCGCCTCTCACGCTCCCTGGCGTTACGTCTTTTCCTGCGGAAGGCACTCCAAACAAGCTATAGCCCTTCTCATCGACTCGAGCCATCACAGACCAGCCAAGCTGTTGTCCATTCCAGAACTTGGGAGCAGACGACGGTAGATCGGTAGCCTTGTTACCAGGCATCCATGCTAGATAGCGTCAGCATGCCATGGTCGTTTGAAGCTTCAAATGTGCTAGCATACCTGACAGGTAAGAATTGCGGACTCCAAGAGGATAAGACGGCGGCAATATTGGCCAGAAGGATGCAGAGTTTGAAGTAGAAGCTGATTTAAAAGCAGACATCGGATGTAGATTGTAGGTGATGCACATGTAGAGTAGCGCTGTAAACACAGCACCGTACAAAGATAGGGCCATTATACCGACCACTAGAGGAAATCGAGCCGGCAGATGGCCACATGCGCAGCAGGTATATCTTCTCCGACGAGGTTGGATTCTGCATTCGTCAGTGAATCCAAATCTTGTATGGTAGATAGAAGTATGGGATGATGGGTGTTGATTTCATGGTTGAGAGATGGCAAGTGGTTCCCATGTTGATTCGTTGATGAATGAGCGCGGCCGCAATTCTTAGGCAAATATAGCAGACTCACCTACGGTGTGGTGGATGGCCAGTCCAGGTGCGCAAGTACTGAGAGCTTGGCTCCTCCTGGATGACTGGGACATAGTCGTCGCGACCCATCTTGGCGACATAATGTAGGAATGCGGTGCAGTCGTGCAGGAGTACTCGTACGGCGTCACGCAAGTCCTTCCATAGAACGGATATTCAACCAATCTCACGACCTAATCTGTCAGATATATCTACATGTAAGTAGATGGGTGCCGTGACATTCGACGTTGCCGTGCATGGCAACTGCAAGTGGCTCGGCTCTGGCCATGTCTGGGTCTATGACGCGAAAGAGCAAGAGCGTCTGACGAAGGACGATACCATGCTTGCTGACAGTGAGGCATCGTGGATCCGTCCATGGTCTCCAGACGGGTGAGGGGACGGCAAGAGAGTCAGGTAAGGAATGAGTATGGTATATCTGGGCTAGCAAGCTCATATTCATATTGGAATGATTGCCATCTGTGCCGCTTGCTGTGGCAGACCGGCGGTGGGCGGTGGGCGGTGGGCGGTGGGCGGTGGGCGGCGGATGTCGATGTCGGTCGGTGAACGAACGGAGCGGAGCGGAGCGGAGATGGAGTTCGACGCCATCATTTCTTGGCGCGTCGAGCTTGGATCTTTCATCGATGTTACCTTCCTTATGAATGCCAGGCTCGCCCTTCGCTTGAGCTCTTCACGCATATCTTCAGCATCGCCGTTGACGCCTCGCTCTTGCACGTGCACCTTCACCAACATGGCCTCCACAACCAACGGCGAAAAGCCAAGCCTCCGATACGCAGATGTCTGTGCATACTTCTACCCACTGCACAGCTCGCAAGCAAGACAGACGACTGATCTACGGCGCGATAGATCGGCATCAATCTCTCAGACCAGATCTTCCGCGGCTGGCAACATGGCAAGAAGGCTCACGACGACGACCTCGAATCGGTCGTCCAACGCGCACGCCATGCTGGAGTACGAAAGATGATGGTCACTGGCTCCGATCTCGTGGAAAGCAAGAACGCCGTCAAACTCGCAGAAGCCTATCCCGGTCTCTGCTATGCAACCGTCGGTGTACATCCTTGCTCGGCGAAGACGTTCGACAATCACGAAGGAGGACCAGAAAAGCTGCTTGAAGAGCTGAAGAAGCTGGCACAAGAGTCAAGAGACGCAGGCACTGCAACAGCTTTTGGCGAAATAGGCCTGGACTATGATCGTCTACAGCACGCAAGTAAGGAGACACAGATGAAGTACTTCGAGATGCAGCTCGATTTGGCTGCAGAGCTACACATGCCGCTGTTCCTACACATGCGTGCCGCCTGGGATGACTTCAAAGCTCTCCTGGAGCCGCGACTGCAGAAGTTCCCCAAGCGCGGCGTCATTCACTCCTTTACAGGCACGCTGCAAGAAATGCAAAATATCGTCCAGCTCGGCTTCGATGTTGGCATCAACGGGTGCAGTCTGAAAACCGAGGATAATCTTGCGGTTGTGAAAGAGGTGCCAATGCATAGGTTGCAGATCGAGACTGATGGTCCCTGGTGCGAGATCAGGCCAAGTCATGCTGCGAGTGTCCATCTGAAGGACCTACCTACTGATATGCAGCTTCCCAAGGCTGTGAAGAAAGAAAAGTGGACAAAGGATACGATGGTAAGTATTGATCTGTGTGCCACGCATTTCTTACTAATTCATGTGGGCCAGGTCAAAGGTCGTAACGAGCCTTGTGCCATAGGCCATGTAGCGTGGGTTGTTGCCAAAGTGAAAGGCCTGCCAGTTGAAGAAGTCGCTGAAACTGCATGGAACAATTCCATCCGCATGTTCTCTCTTGGAGAGTCCTCCAGCTGAGGCCCTGCCGTGGCGGAACAACTTCAGTCAGGAACCAAGGAGTCTACACTTATGTGAGCACCATCGAGCCTCTCACGTGTGTTTGATGCTCACAGGCGTTATCCGCCTCATGTCAAGTCTACGACCTCTCCACTCGCCTTTGGCTTCTTCACCACATACTCGCGGACAAGATTTCCATCATCGTCCAAGTCGATGTGGACTTCCTCATCGCTCGGTCTCTTGCGCCGTCGTGGCTGGTTCGCTTCCTTTTCGGGTTTGATCTTCTGTATCAGAGCCGCTGTTGTCCTGGTGCCATCTTCCAAGTCACGACCGGCTGTTGAGCGCTTATCATGTGGCGCATCATCATTCAACGACCCGTTCTGGCGAGACGTTGGCTTTCGGATGACGCCCATTGACAGCAGCGTTTCCAACGAGCGGTAATGAAAGACAATCGTTCCTGCGGGCACCTTCTCTGGATCGACATACGTCACTCTTCGGGTTCTGCACTCCTTCTCCTTCAGCGTCGCCGTCTCAGAGTATGACACGCTATGCGACACGCCGCTTCCCTTGATCAGGCTTTCAGGATCACCTCAAGCTCGTCGCGACGTCCGATGTTATCGTCTGCGATGAACTGGTCGCGCGTCTTCGCTCCTACCCGCATATGGTGGACCTCGATAACGATGGATCCTAATCCTGCCACCCGTGACCTCTTGTAGTCTGAACCATCGTTTTCAGTCGTTTCGAGTGTTTTGAAGCTGTACTTCATCACTTTACCCTTCGAAGACACCCAACCTTGGCGGATTAATGGTTTGCCATCTTTCACAAACTTTTTTGTTACAAAGGCTTGGTCAGTCGTGTTGCCGTCAACAATGGTGCAGAAGCCTAGAATATCGCCACGAAATTCGACTTCACCAGCTAGCCGGATCCAGATCTCGAATTCGAAGCCGTCCCGAGCCTCGACGTATTGTTCAGCCAGACCTTTGGTGTCAGAACTGCCAGCCACGTACTCTTGAAGCGGCCTGCCATCAACGTAGATGCTGGCCATAACACCAGGGGGATCGTGTGGAATTGCCATCGCCTGATATTGACTTGGTTGTAGAGGCATTTGCCGAAGTTTAGGAGTCAGTAGCGTGTTGAGGAGCGAAGTTTATGAAGTACTGCAAAAGACAGCGCCTAACACACAAAGTGAATGGCCTGTTTCACGAGGGTTCCGAGGGCACAAGACTGTCTCATTCACCCACACTCTGCGTTCACAAGCCTACGCCATCAAGCTTGTGATACAGAAGTCTGCCTTGTGCACAGGGAAGCAGTCAATTAGGCTTGTCGCAACGACCTGGAAGTACCTGCGTAATATAGTGTGAATTATGGTATTATAAGCTTATAAGCTGTGTACCAGGACGGGAGCACAGCAAGAGCTTCGGAGCTAAAGGACAGGATTTCGACAATGATATAAGTTTGCTTACTATTCTTTGCGTTTTACCGTAGAATGCCAAGCATAGCACCTCCGTAGTACGGAACCTTATAGTTTACTAGGTAGAATGCTCCTCTTTGCTCTTATAGACCTTAAATTATACCCTTATACCGCTAAATAGCTATTATTATTAACCTGCCGCCTAAGTTAGCGTATATAGTCGCTTTTTACGCTACTAGCGACCTCGTATAGCTATATTTCGAGATAGCGCCTCCGAGAAGCTTATAGTTATATAAACCGGTCGATAAGGACTTGCTAGACTATAAGACAAGTACTAAATAGCGCGAGTCGCTAGTAAAGGGAAGAGGGAAGAAATCGAGCGTAAAATCGACGGTAGCGGCTACGTTAAAGAAGTTTAGTAAGGCGCGCGCATTCGACGCGAAAGCGTAGAAGGAGTTAACTAAATAGGTTAATAGCGTCTTAACTACCGTAGATAAGTAAGAGATAGTCGATTTAGAGGTATCGCCTATAAAGAATAAGTTAGCGCCTACTATACGCCTAGTAGATAGTATAGTAACGAGAGAAGAAGATATCGAAATAGCTTCTTACGACTCTCGTAACGCCTTTTAGTATAAATAGACCTAGCGCCTGCTTACTAGCAACTAAGAAGTCGCTATAAAGAATTTCGAGCGTACTAGCTAGTCTGCGAAATATACGTACGAAGCGCTATAGTAGGCGAGCGCTAAGGTATAAAAGAAGGGACTCTTCGTTAGTAATTAGTTTATAGTCTCGTCTACTAAAAGCGTTACTAAAAGCGACTAGTTTAGGCAAAGTTATAGCAACGGTAAGTATATCCGAGTTGAAGTTAAAGAGCTAAGATTAACTTAACTATACCTACCTTAACGGCTATATCCGTAGGCCTCGAATACTAATATTTCTTATAAAAGACGATTATAAGATAGCACTTAGTGCTACCCTCGAGTTTAATCGTAAAGGTAAGGATAAGATTAAAGTCGATCTCGAGTTTAAGACCGCTCCGAAGGATACTAGACCTACCGTTATAAAAGTTAGTAAATTGAAACCTAACGACTAGTAGACTGTCGACGGCATTGCCTATATTGCTAAGCAACGCTAGTATAGCAACTACGTTACTAAGATTAAGGCTAACAATGTCTGTTATAATATAGGCTATAATAACTATAATAACTTCTACTATCTAGTAGAAGATCTGCCTAATATTAAAGAGAACTATCTCTAGATTAGCAGCGACTCTGTCCGTATATAGTCTTTAGTACTAGCTGCTAGCAAACTAGGCGTTATAGTAAAGAAGCCGCTAGAGAATGTTGCTATTAAAATAGCTTAGTATACTAATAGCTACCGTAACAAGGCTAAGCAAGTAAAGGAGACTTTATAACCTATACCTGCTATACCTTATTATAGTAGGTCTATACCTGCTACTCCTTATATTAATTATAAGGGCTTAATTAAGGCTACTTTCTAAGCGGTTACGAGCATTCTTTAGCCTAGCTCTAGTCGTCCTATTCTAGTATAACAACCTTAGTCTAAACTATAAGAAGCTCGCTAAGAGTCTCTAATACCTACTCGAGTTGCCGAGTAAGTTAGTACGCCTATACTTAGTCTTATAAGACAGTTCTTTAAGTAGGCTGCAGTATAACACGAATAGTCTAATTCTAAAGAGAAGGACGACTTTGTAAAGATAGAGTCTTACCTCTTAACTTAAAGATATAACTGTAATTAGATAGTAAGGATCTCTAAGAAGTATTAGAAGGATGAACTTAGCTTCTTTAAGGACTATTATAGCCGTCTAATTGCTACGTTAAAGCGCTTTTAGAAGCAGAAACTAATAGAGAGGGTAGAGGGAAAGTAATATTACGACTAATAATTATAACATTAATAACGGAGCGACGGCTGTTCGTAGAATATCGTTTTAGTTAGGCGTTTACTAGCAAATAGTAAGCTAATTAGAATCCTTAGTACTCCGCTACGTATATCGTTATTATCGTTATTTAAGCTAGTATCCTCTTTAGCCCTCTCCGGCGGCATTCTCGGAGGTAAAAGCGGAGGACTTATATAAAGCTTAGCAATACCTACTATAACATTATCTATTTTACTATATACGCAATACTATACCGATTAATACAAAATTAAAGGCGGAGCTTCGGATATATATTCTCTCGAGATCCTGCTATTAATATTATATACAAGTGTGTTATAGTAGCTAGATTTAAAGCGTATCGAAGTTTAGTAGTAAACCGTTAATCCCCTCCTTATACTCTCCGTTAACGTCGTATCTAGCGTACCGGAATAACCCCTTTATATTAATGCCGCTAACGTATTCTAACGACTACGTAAGGAAGTTAGTAAAGCAGTTAAAGTTCTTCTACAGGTCCTTATTCTTCTTTATCTATGCTTTTAGTATATTAAAGGTCTACTTAATAGGGTTGAGATCCGGTAAGTATAGAGGTAGGTATTCGAGTATATATCTAGCTAACTTGATAATCTCTTTCATACTATTACTATAGTAGATCGAGGCATTGTCTATAATAAATATTATCTCTTTACTAATAAGTAGCGGTAGCACTTAATTCTCGAGCTAGTTGTTAAACGTAACTTAATCTACCGTACCTTTAATATAGAGCGTATACGGAAGATATCTATTAATCGTTAGCGCCGGCAATACTAACGTCCTTTCCTCGCGTTGCGTATACTAATAATCGCAACAATCTAACCCCTTCGGCGACTATCTATACTTGCGGTACGCCGTCTTCTAGTTTATCGCTATTTTATTAAAGAATACTAACTTCTTAATCGGCTATTTCCTATACTTGTTATCCTAAACGGCTCTTACTAAAGGATTACGTTCTTTAGCGATCTTACGCGAGACTTTGCGACTCTATTTTATTATATCGACGAGGTAGCGGTATATATTCGAAGAGTATAGTTAAACGTCGAATTTATCGTAAAGAGCGAGGCAAATTTCCTTAAGGTATACCTCTAGCTAATAAGAGAGATATTCTTCGAGCTAGTCTCTTATTTCCTATATAAGGGTTCTTTTACGACCTAGCGGTAGGCGTAGTAGATAGTAGGCCTACTAGAAGAGATTATAGTTAATATACTATTTGTATAGGGTCGACCTCGCTACGCCTATTACTAGCATAATATCGTTAATCGTTTTATCTCCTACTTTAAATAACAACTCCGCCTTCTTTATAGTCTTAAGCGGTATCTTCGTACTATTGCTATTACGCTTTTCCGGCAGTTTTAGGGGCGGCGCCTTCTTCTTACGTACTATTACGCTCTCTGCGATACTTATACGATTAAAACAATACCTTAACGGTTGCTATACTATTAAAAATGCGACGACACGGTCTATAAAGAGTTAGGTTCGAAATGCGGTATGCGGCTCTACAAGAGTCTTAGCATTCTACGGTAAAACGCAAAGAATAGTAATCTTTTTGTAACTACCGAATCTTTCTAGAAAGAGCACCCGAATACCTAGCACTTCGCGATAAGAAAGCGCGCCTACTATACGTGCTTAACCTAGGATTGCACAAGTCCTAGCGCTAGATCTTAATAGGCTAGAATGTCCGTTCTAGCCCTTTTACAGAAGGTCTACTACGCCGTCGTATGCGACAATTCTCTAGACAGACAACGGCCTGCGATAATTAATTCCCCTTTAGAATTCAATCTTATACGAACCGGGCGTTAGGAAATCTCGCAGTTATACCTTATAGGATGCCGAAAGAATAATAAAGATACTGTATTCTCGGGAACGAAATCGATTCTATACTGCTAAAGATTGCGTCGGACCTAGGTGCAATAATAGCTGCAGCTTAAGGCAGTAAGGCAGCGAGGTAGCGAGGATAATATTCTACGCAAGATGCTCGCCTAGGCTCTATCGGCATAAGATCTACGCATTCTAACCGATTAAGGCGCCTAAGCTGCTTTATCCCGAAGTATAAAGTATTGCTAGGAAAGCGTTTCTATAAGTCTTCGTAATTAGCGTCGTTCTACTTCGCTTATATATAGCTCTACTTATATAGGGTTAACCCTCGAGAGACGTAGTAGACTTTCCGGATTAATTCTTTCTATCGTAATATAGCAGACCTAATACTATTCTTAAATATTATTCCTTTCGCGAGCTACCGCATAGCCGGACTAGTATCTTTAGAGCACTAGCAAAGGAACTATATATCTTCTTAGACTAAGTAAGCTCTAATAGCTTCGGATCCCTATACTACGATCCCGGCTGCCGATCCCTATAGGGAACTATAACTATTAGCAAACTCTACGACCTTATTAACTATCGTTACCGCGCCTACTAGTATAATACCTAAAGCGCTAGCAGTTAGCTACCCTAGGTTAACCCGAAATAGAATATCGCTAACTAAGATATAAAGCGGTAGTTTCTACTACCGTAGCCGTCCGGCGCGTAGACACGTTTGTTTGTTGTTTCCTATATTGTTGCCCTTGCTATCGCTCGCAGTAGTATATACTTTGTAGGAGGTATTGTTGTCGCCGCCTTATATTTACTCGCTTTTATTAAAATAGCACTATCTCTATTATATTATAGCTTCCGAGACCTTGTTGTCGCCGCTGCCGCTACCGCCGCCGCCTAGCACTACGAGAGTCGCGTTAATCGTTGCTTTTACGACCGAGCGGCTATCTATTTCGAGCCTATTAAATCCGGCGGAACGCGACGATATTATCGACTATCTCGTTAATAACTATAACGCGTCGAAGCCTCCTCCGGTCGAGCGTGTTTAGTTACTAAATACTAGTAATAAGGACTAGGCGTTAGAGGATAGTAAGGATAGCGGCTATAGTAAAGAAAGCGCTAAAGAACGCGACGAGGAAGGTAGTAATAGCGGTAGTAGTAAGGTCGACAGTAACGGCAGTAGTAGTAAAGTCGATAGCGCGCCGATACCTCGTTGCTACGGAAAGCGTATTAAAGTAACGGTTATCGAAGATAGACATACTATTCTACGCGCGCCTACTAATCTAAGAGCGCTATATAAGAAGTAGTTAGCTATTCTAGACGACCCTAACAATAATAATAGCGAGA